TAGTAATATGTAAGCGGACTACTTAAATTAGGCACCAAAAGTGCACGTGTGGCTAGTTGTAACCTCCAATGTAAGGTAAACCCCTAGTGGCATGCTGTGTCCTAATATACTTGAATAAAAACATTGCAACTCCCAAGATAGGGACTTTAACAAAAAAAAATAAAAAATAAATAAATAATAGTAACTGTATAGTTAGCAGTTTAATAGTTAATCCGGATTACAAGTGTTACCATAGCATATATATTTTAAATTACTAATAAAGATATAAGCAAAACCTTATCTTAATATCAAAAATAAACTTTATTTAAAACTACTAAAAGATTTATTTAATATTAATTTTAAAAGCATTTTTTTAATAAAAAATACAATAATCAAAATATAAATACCAATCCTTTATATATATTTTAATAAATACAGTTTTACTAAATTATATTAATATTTAATTTTATAAAAAATGACTATTTTTTTAGTAAAACATTAAAATGATATTAAATATTGCTAGCATGATTTAATCCTATTGAATATGTATATTACAACAAAAAACTTATTTATAAATAAATAACATCAATTACTACTTCTATGCTTATTATTCTTTATATTTTTTTAAAGTATTTTCTTCGACAATATTTCTGGGTGCTATTTTTCCTGTCCATTTTTTAAATTGATGAATTCCCTGTTCAATTAACACTTGTATTCCTTCAATTCCAATCCAACCTTTCTCCTCTCCCTTTTTTAGTAACTTTGTTCTTCTTGGTTTATATGCCATTTCAACAACTACTCCCTTACCAAATTGAAATATTTCATCCGGAAACTCCATATCTGAAGTTCCAGGAATTGCGGAAATAATTATCTGAGGGGATTGTGGTAGTGCTTGAGAAAGTGATGTTAAAGGAACAATTCCGTATGTTGGGAACTGAGTGACCAAATCAGAAATTTTTGCAAGTGTACGATTGTACACATAAATTGTTGATACACCAAGCTGATGAAGAGCATATATTATCGCTCTTGATGTTCCTCCCGCACCAATAACCAAACCTGAACTTGTAGAATCGATTTTTAATAAAGGTTTTACTGAATGGAAAATTCCTAACCAATCTGTATTATCACCAAATAGCTTACGATTACCGTTTGAATCAATTTCTACAATAACAGTGTTTACCGCACCGATTAACTTTGCGTGTTCAGAAATATGATCAAGATATTTCATTATATTAATTTTATGAGGAATCGTTACTGATGCACCTCCAAATTGAGGATCTTGTAAAATAGGTTTAACATCTTCAACATTCTCACTTTCAAACAAATCATAATGATGTGGTAAACCGAGAACTTCAAACCCAGTATTATGAATAACCGGTGACATAGAATGAGATATCGGCGTTCCAAAAAGGTAAAAATTCTTTTTTGGAAGTTGGCCAATCAAATGTAAAGCTTGGTGGATTTCTGAGACTGATAGTTGGCCTGGAGCTGATTTCGAAGGTAATAGAGGATGGGTTACCGGAGTAAGAAATTCGTTTAACACACGGGATAATTGTCCTTCAAAACCCATATTGACCGTAATTATTGGTTTTGTGCGTGTTTTTAATGACCGAATAAACTCCTGCAATTTAAAATTATCTACAATAGATCCTGCACGACAAACTAGTTTTACGATATCACCATATTCTTCCGCAGTTCTGTAACGTCGATGAATCTCTTCATTATCCCATTTCACAGTACCCATCACATCATGCCAAGAGGCAATTATTTTTGTGTGTCCCTTATTTTTGATTAAATTGGAAATTAAATCATGAGGCCAACAAATCTCTACGTCAACATATTCACAACCCCATTTTAATGCTTGTGCCAAAAGAAAGAACATTTCTTTTTCCTGATTATCAGGAAATTTACCGCCCTGCCCTAGAGAGCGGACGGTGAATATGATTGGAAGTGTTGATGAACGTCTTAAAAGTGTCAGCTGTTTTGAAATATAATCTACAAATGATCCTGTCTGAGAGTTGTTAGAAAGTGAATCTACCCGAAGTTCAATTGCGTCCGCGCCGTGGGTTATTGTAGGTATATGTTGTAATTCGGAACTCATATCTGAATACATTAGACAGACAAAGAAAGTCTTATTTTTTTGTTCACTATTAACCTGGTTGGTGTCATGTCCAGTAATAAATTTCAAAAATCGAATAAAATTTTTTTCTTCATGCCACACTGATGGATCATCATTAGCGGTTATTGAAACATATTCGTAATTGGAACACTCTTTATACCATCCCTCGCGTCGTTTCCATACGTCAAGAAATGCCTCCCCATATTTTGGACGAGCTGTATCTCTGTTTAACCTATTCAAATATTCTTCTACTTCCTTAATATCTCTTACTACATGTACAACTATCCCCTTTTCGCGTATATATGCCTTCAAAAGGTCACGGGAGGATGAGGTTTCAACTATTCCACCACCGCAGGAGATTACGTGGCCTGAAGGATAAGTTTGAAGCAATGATGCGATAATCTCAAATTCTTTCTCACGAAACGCTGTCCATCCATGTTTTTCTACAAAGTCATGTATTGTTATGGATAAAGTGGTTTCGAAATGATCATCGAAATCGATAAATTGAAAGTTTAATACATTAGCAGCGATCTTTCCAAGAAACGACTTTCCTACACCACGCATTCCAATAAATAACAATGATTTGTCTTTGGAAACTTTAGGTTCATCTTTTACCAATAAATCGTGCACGGATTCTATATCTAAACCGTCAAATTGTATACCTAATTTAGATTCCAAATCATCCCACCAATTTGGCCACGTTTTCTCTACACATTTTTTCTCACGTATAATCGTACCATTTGGTACAACGCATCCAAGCACACTAAAACTCATTGCTACTCGGTGGTCATCGTAACACTTAACTCCTTCCTCTGGACCCTTGAGTGATTGAATGTTGGCACCATGTATCTGAATCCCATCAGGAATCTCAGATGCTGTAACACCAAATTTACTCAATTCATTGACCATAGCAGCAATTCTATTGCATTCTTTAACTCGTTGATTTGCAACGCCTGTAATTCGAGTAATACATTCACCTCCAACATTATTAGAAGCAACAGCAGCTAAAACAGATGCTGTCAAAAATGCATCTGTCATTGTTTCCATGTCAATTTGTGGTAATGGACGCAATGACCCAATCGGGGGTCCTTTCACTGTAGTACTTGTAGCAGTTTGCTTAACCGTACATCCCATAGGTTGGAGGACTTTAACGGCAAACGCAGCATCACCCTGAAGTGAAGTTGAGCCTATATTTGGTAGAGTGCATGTGATGCCAGTAATAGCAGCGATTGCCAACGGATACGTGGCAGAACTAGCATCTGCTTCTACAATATATTCACTGGGATTTTTGTAACAACCCTTTGGAATCCGATATACATTACCATCAAGACGTTCAACTTTGATACCGAAAGAATCCATCATTGCAATTGTCATATCAATATAGGGCTGAGATATTACCTGACCTCCGGTTAAACTCAATGTTACCGGTTCATTGGCATATGGGGCACTTAAAAGAATAGATGAGACGTATTGAGACGATATAGATGCAGAAAGATTAATAACACCACCACGCAATCCCAACGGAGCTATTTCGAGTGGAAGACAGCCCTCATTTTCAAGGTAAAGAATTTGAGAACCATTTTCTCGAAGTGCTTCCACTAAAGGACCTATCGGTCGTTGTTTCATACGCGAATTTCCAGTTATAATAGTGTTCTTTCTTGTTTCAATCTTAGTCTCTGCGGAAACTAAGGTACAAACCGTAGTAAGAAATCTGGCAGCTGTTCCAGCATTTCCGAGATAAATTTCCTTGTCAGGAACCTTAAGATTACCACCACCACCTGTTACTACCAAAGTTTCACCCTCATCTTCCCATTCAAATTTTGCACCACCAAGATTTTGTAAACCAACCAACATAACTTGCGTATCATCCGAATGTAACAATCCTTTAAGTCGACAAGTACCAGTTCCGAGTGCTGAGAGCACCAAGGCACGATTTGAAATAGACTTTGATCCTGGAGTCGTCATTGTTACATGATCAGGGATATTAGATGAAGATGTGACCGAAACAATCGAAACTGCAGGTGAAAGAACCTTTCTTATGGCGGAATCAGGAACAAAGGTAGCTTTTGGTTCCAATGTTTTTCCAATTCCAGTGAGTATCACAATTCTCTTTTTATCCCCTACATTTTTTTTATCAATTTTCATGAATTCCATTATTTTATCCACAGAACTTCGTCTATCACCCATCATTTTTTGAATTTTTTTATCATCTAAAGAGACAGGTAAACCATAACTTTCCAAACACCTAACTAATCGACCCACAGATACTTGGTTTAGGTGCCCAAGACTTCTTGCAAGTTCCACTTCTTTAACCATACCGATAGATACGCATTCTCCATGGAGGAGAACTTCGTACAAAATAGCTTCTATCGCATGACCAATCGAATGACCAAAATTGAGAAGACCTCGAAGACCACTTTCCCTCTCGTCATTTGTTACAACATAGGCTTTAAACTCAGCAGAACTACGAATAACAGAAAGAAGAAGGGATTGAGATGGCGTGCGCGTTTCTAATGTTGCTCCTATACAAAATATTATCCATGTATATTAGAATCTGTAAAAAAAAATCACAACTTTAAGAAAAAAACTTCTCATAAAAAAGTTCTCACCTTGAAAAGGAACATCTCTTTTAGGATTTAGTACAGCATCACGAATACTTGCAACACCATTTTCAAGATTTACAAAATCATTTTCATTATTAATTGCGGCAGTCTTTATTACTTCAGCCATACCATTGATAAACTGTCGTTCAGGTAATGATTCTAAATAAATTATATCGATGTATATTCTTTTAGGTTGCCAAAATGCACCAATCAAATTTTTTCCGTGAGGAGTGTCTACCGCGGTTTTACCACCTATAGACGAATCTACCATTGCAAGAAGAGTTGTTGGAACTTGAACTAACGGTACACCACGCATAAAAGTAGCAGCAACGAAACCACACAAATCCCCAATCACGCCACCACCAAATGCTATGATACAAGTATCGCGAGTACATGCCTGGCTTAGAAGGAAATCTTCAATTTCAGCTTTCGTATCACGAGACTTTGATTGTTCTCCAGGGGGTATTACATAAGAAATAAATCTCGGCGGTACTGCATTGTTTCCTTTAGAAAGGTTTAATTTTGAAATAATATTTTTAAATCGATTTGATAAATTTTCAAGATAAATAGATGCGATATTTGAATCGGTAATTAATGCATATGTTGATACAGGAATGTTAAGTATTATATCTCGTATCATATATTCTGTTAAATGAAATCCTAAAATAATGGATTCTTCATTAAGAATAGATATTTTTTCGACAGAAGGCTCTGGTTGCTCGGTAAATGTTGACATTTTTTACGATAAAAAAATTAAATGCATCGAGTTGATAAAACTCTATATATCTACAAAATACAGAAAAATGAAATTAATATCGATACTCGATGATTCACAATTTGTCATTAGATTTATCGATCTGAGACTAAATATATAGGGGCTCAAACTGTGGCTTAAATTTCACTAGTTTATATCTTTAAAACTTGTCTTATACTGGTGAAATCTTGCACATTGATTTGTCATTCGATTATAAATAAACATAAAGCCACAATCTTTTTTTTAAGGCATACACATGAATAAATTAACATATTTAAATTCTTGATACGTATTCTTTTGGTTATTTTATATGGGAATTAAAAATAAAAAATGTCTATAGTGAATGTAATGTATAAAAACAGATAACTGGCGATTTTTCATTGAAGCCTATATGTATACAGTATACGCATATAACAATAATTGTATATCAGTTTATATATGAAGTTCACTCACAAATAAATCGTTTGATTGAAAATTTGTTTTTTACATCGCATGTATATACAAAGTATAATTTGCCGCTCAGGTGTAACATAAATAACAACAAAAAATAAACAGGGGTTTTTTGTTTAGTTAGGGTTGGGTTAGAATGAATAATAGAGATTTAAGTAAAAATTTTGCGATAAATTTTTTTGTTATAACACGAAAGATAGTTTTAGTTAAATATAAGAAGTGATGACAGTAAATGTTGTTTGGCAAAAATCTGCTTGCTTATTAAGATAATTATCTGAGTGATTCTGCAATTTATAAAAGATAATATACAGTTTGAATAATTTAATAATGTTTAAAAAAATGTGCTAGATAAGGCATAAGTTGAATTTGAATAACTTATTAAGTTAAAGATTATTAAATTTAAGGGTAGGAGGCAGTATTTTAAATTTATATATAAACCTAATGGTAAATTTTTTTATATTTAATTTTATGAAAAATTATATTAAGTAACCTAATTTTAATTA